GTCGCCCTGTTGATGACATCAGCGACGCGGTTTAATCGGGCGCGGCTTAGTCGAGCGCGGTTTTGTCGTGCCACGAAATGTAACACTATAAACAGTGTATATCTTCTGTGCTGTTTGCTGTTTGCTGCAAGGAGGCAAATTGCTGGGAGGCAGGTTTGTTTTCTCTTCTTTTCCCTCCCCAAAAGCTAGGTGCGGCTTATACTTCGGGGTGTCTTATACTCCGAAAAATACGGCAAATAGAATATCATACAGGTAGACCTTTGCTTCATTTGGTAACCATTCGAAGTTACGATGGCACTGAAAAAATATACACACTTACGACCTTTCCCCATGGTCACGTGATCAAAATTCAGAGGCCTGGCAGATGGTCCAGATTTATGACGGTTGTGTTGACCAGGGGTCATTGTGATCCTTTTTGCGACCTTCTGACAAGCAAAGTCCGTAGGGGAGACAGATTCGCTTAACAACCAGGTGACTAATTGCAGGGATTCGCTTAAAAACCGAGGTAAGGCAGGCAGTGAAATGGAGTAAAAACTCACTCAACAAATGCCTCGCTTAACCACAGAAATGTTGGGCTCGATTGTGGTCATAAGTTGAGGACTACCTGTACTGAACTTTGATCTCCTAGCATCTAAATGTACGCCTAAATATATCCAGCTTGAGTCATGCTGAATGTTATCACAATTCAAAGAGTAGAAAAAGTTCAGGAGGAGGAGGAAGAGGGAGGAGGAAGAGGAGGAAGAGGGAGGAGTAGGAAGGACTGTGGGGTCCTTGGTGCTCTCTGAGCTTGGTGGCTTTCTTGCAGACGTTTCCTGGCCCAACTAGGTGACATTATCAGTGCTAGAAGAGAGGGGGGTTTGTGGACAGGAGGAGAAGGAGGAGGAGGAAGGACTGTGGGGTCCTTGGTGCTCTCTGAGCTTGGTGGCTTTCTTGCAGACGTTTCCTGGCCCAACTAGGTAACTTCATCACTGATGATGTGACCTACTTTGGGCCATGAAACACCTGCAGGAAAACCACCAGGCCCAGGGAGCACGAAAGACCCCCCCCTCAATTTTAAACCATTTCTGGAAACCTTGCCAAGGAAGGGACTTATCTGTAGGGTTGCCAGGAGTCAATGCTCCATCTCTGGAGCTTTTCCAGAAAAGGTTAGCAGTTAGCAATAGCAGTTAGACTTATATACCGCTTCATGGGGCTTTCAGCCCTCTCTAAGCGGTTTACAGAATCAGCATATCGCCCCCAACAACAATCCGGGTCCTCATTTTACCCACCTCGGAAGGATGGAAGGCTGAGTCAACCTTGAGCCGGTGAGATTAGAACCCCCGAACTGCAGCTAGC